AGGGGGGGGGACGTTTATTCCTCCAACGAGCAAGTTATACCATCTTCAGAGGGTCCTTAGTAGATGAGTAAGTGGGCTAACCAATAAACCAAGCGAAACTGAGCACTTTTTCACGAGAACCTGTAGCTCCACATTGCGCGTTAATGGCTATTTTCTACCCCCACAGTTCAACAGCCTGGAGCAGCTGTGCATCAACTTCACCAACGAGAAGCTGCAGCAGTTCTTCAACCACCACATGTTCGTGCTGGAGCAGGAGGAGTACAAGAAGGAGGGCATCGAGTGGGAGTTCATTGACTTCGGGATGGACCTGGCTGCCTGCATCGAGCTCATCGAGAAGGTAGCCTCTCCTCTCTACCCAGCCCCTTCGTAGCCTCTGCTGCTCCTTACCGTCTGCCTACTGACCCCGTGTGTCTTCACGCCTAGCCCATGGGCATCTTCTCCATCCTGGAGGAGGAGTGCATGTTCCCCAAGGCTACAGACACCTCCTTCAAGAACAAGCTGTACGAACAGCACCTGGGCAAGTCCAACAACTTCCAGAAGCCCAAGGTTGTTAAAGGCAAGCCTGAGGCCCACTTCGCGCTGATCCACTACGCCGGCACAGTGGACTACAACATTACTGGCTGGCTGGACAAGAACAAGGACCCCCTGAATGAGACGGTGGTCGGGCTGTACCAGAAGTCTGGCCTAAAAACGCTGGCTTACCTCTTCTCAGGGGCAGCAGCTGCTGCTGAAGCAGGTAATTTCCAATAACACAGATCTTTTACTTAACGTATAAACATAAATGGAGCAAAACTGTGATTGTTGTGCTTTCTTTGCCCTGCAGAGGCTGGTGGTGGAAAGAAAGGGGGTAAGAAGAAGGGCTCTTCATTCCAGACGGTGTCTGCTCTCTTCAGGGTACAAATTTCAATTTCTCTAATTCGATTCAGGGCACTGAACTTGACTTTATTTTGTAGGGGAGGGAAAGCAATATTGCAAAGGTTCTAGAAGTACCCGTGACTCACTGACATAGATCCGCTGATAGTGGGAGAACTGAGTATTAGGGCGGTTTGGCATAGTCTACAGGAGAGAGCTACATATATAAATATAAGAGAAATGGGAATCAGGAGGGCGGAGAGTAACTGGTAGAAGTCAGTAGCAAATGGGAGAATTCAATTCTGGAACAGGAGAAATGCAATCACTTGATACTTAAATTTTTCACTGGGGTTGGGTTGAATAGTGTACGATTTTTATCGAGACTTTGGAAGCATCCAGCTAATGTAGGTGCTTGCATTTACATTGGACTAGACCTGAAGTTGACAATTTTGAAAATTTCAGGTATAAGAATTATGGGGAGAATCGGAAGCAGAATTAAAAGAAGGATCTTAGAAATCAGATGTGGGCACAACTAACTCTGTAGGGTAAAATCATCTTTCTCTTGGCAATCCCATCTTTACTGCTCTGAATTGAGCTTCAGAAAATCAAAAAGAAAAACATCCCAACAGATTTCTGTAGGTTTGGAAACTTTAGCTTTTCAGAAAGTGACTTATTTTTCTGCCCATTCTAAGCAGGAGCTATTTAAAGGGCACTTTCTACGGAATCTTCAGGCCACAGTTCTGTGCCTGAAATAAGGACTAAACCTGTGGCAGAGGGGCAGATACGTAATAAAGACGGATAGAGCGTGAACATTGGGAAAGGAATGAAATGGGGGATTTGGAGGACAGCATTGAATTAGTACTAGAACCAGGCCATATTACTAGGCAAAAGAGCATGGCAGGAGTATTTGCCTGTATCCTGATTGTCATCGTGGCTGGTGGGGTTGAAGTGCTGCTCTTCCAGTTAGCAACTGACTCCTTAACCATTGTGGCACCAAGGCTCCTTCTAAAAGATGGTACTAAATTTAAGATGTCTGTTCGGAAAGCAGCGAACCAAATACCCTTCGCAACTTCCTACAGCAAGTAGAAAAATGTATCTGCATTGCACACATATGCGATACAGGAGGATATGTTCAGAATGTGGATTCCAGAGAGAATGCTGCCAATTCCAATCTGGAAATCACTCATTGTAATTTTGCCAGTGCCATAGAGCAACATCATCATGTCTGTAAGTAGGCATGTAGTACAAAAGCAGGGCATTTTCAAATGAAGCCTATCTATGGTTCTACAGGAGAACTTGAACAAGCTGATGACCAACTTGAGAAGCACTCACCCCCACTTCGTGCGGTGCATCATCCCCAATGAGACCAAGACTCCCGGTAAGACACTTCCGATGCCCAGATAAGCTCTGGCGGGTTTGCTTCAGCCATCAATAAGGTGTGTGCATTCTTCCTTCTAGGGGCCATGGAGCACGAACTTGTCCTGCATCAGCTGAGGTGTAACGGCGTGCTTGAAGGCATCAGGATCTGCAGGAAAGGCTTTCCAAGCAGGATCATTTATGCAGACTTCAAACAGAGGTGACTTATTTCAATAGGCTCTTGTTACTTTAATTTATCAACGAAAGAATTCTTTACTGTTTTCCCCAAATGGAAGAGAACCTAAATTAACAGGCTCCATCGTAACAGACCAAAAGTCTGAAGTCCTTTGAAAATACAAAGAATAGAGAGAAGTGCTGATAGGGCTTCTTATTGTGCTTGTTAGACTCGCCAGTGGCTAAGATCTCTCTATAGCAAGTCAAGATGAATTCTTGTTGGTGACATTAGCTCATGTCATAGCATGTATTTGTTTGACTTAACCAGATACAAGGTGCTAAATGCCAGTGCTATTCCTGAAGGACAATTTATCGACAGCAAGAAAGCTTCGGAGAAGCTGCTGGGGTCCATTGATATTGACCACACCCAGTATAAATTTGGTCATACCAAGGTATGTGTAAATTTGGTCACACAATAGTATGTCAGATTTCAGCTAAGACAAACCCTGCCCTTTTTGAACGTGAAGTAGGTGATGTAGCGTCAAGTAATGACTGATCCGAACGTTGTCCACCTGCAGGTCTTTTTCAAAGCGGGTCTTCTGGGGCTCCTGGAGGAGATGCGAGATGACAAGCTGGCCCAGCTGATTACCCGGACCCAGGCTATGTGCCGCGGGTTCTTGGCCAGGGTGGAGTACCAGAAGATGGTGGAGAGAAGGTATGAACCGGGATATGTTACTGAATCCCATCAGACTAAGTCTTGTAGCTCTCCTTTCTGTTATGAGCTGACTTTGAACATTTCTAATCACATCACAGAGAATCCATCTTCTGCATCCAGTACAATATCCGTGCCTTCATGAATGTGAAGCACTGGCCCTGGATGAAGCTGTACTTTAAGATCAAGCCCCTGCTCAAGAGTGCAGAGACTGAGAAGGAGATGGCCAACATGAAGGAAGAATTTGAGAAAACCAAAGAAAGCCTTGCAAAGGCTGAGGCCAAAAGGAAAGAACTGGAAGAAAAAATGGTAGCTCTGATGCAAGAGAAAAATGACTTGCAACTTCAAGTTCAATCTGTGAGTTAAACATCAAGCTTAATTATAAACCCAATTTTGGCAATCTGATGCTAACTTTTCAACTCCGTATTGACTAGGGAAAAAAGCTACACATCACTTTACAAAGCAGCTGGTTATTCGTATTTTCTAATTCACAATTCCTTAGAATGTTCTCCAAAACTGAGGACCCTGTGTTGTTGAGAAGGAAAGACGACGAATAAATTTCCCTTCCCTCTGTAGTTTTTTCTAGCAAAATATTGGACAGGAAATAGATGATCTCTGCTCTCTAAGATTTTCCCTACTGAAAAATACAAATAAAGACAAGGAAAAAGACCAATATTAACAGTGATTAACAGGGACAGGGGAAGAAATGTTTTGATGCAAACATATCAACTTGCAACCAATTCTGTCTTTAATCTACAGCTGCCTAGAAACTGCCCTCTCAACTCTATTTTTAGAAACCCTCCAACACCTGAAAGAAAATGGTCATTGCAAGAGATAATTGGCAATACTTTCTACAGACAATGCCAATTTTCATGCAAAGCTTGAAATAAATGTGAATAATTACGATAATAGGTCTCTTTTGGATGTCCCAGCAAATACTCAGAAGCTTGGCGAGAATTGATCTAGGGCAACTGTCTAAATCCATTTTGGGTAACCCTAATGACAAGAGCATCCAGTGGCTACCTGCCATAAAAATAATTCAGAGAAACAGTATGGGTACACCTGATTTCTCTGAATTCAGATAAGGGGTCGAGATTGATTCCAGTTGGGTCTATGGCTTCTGGACACTTGTCTAGGTCACCTTGTGACTTCCCCTGTACATCATGCACATTAGGTTTCCCCAAGTTGAGGAGAGGTTCATCAAGAATCAAGGGATAAGTGAAGGGGAAATCTGAACTTGGCCCAAGCATACTACTCTCCTTAGAGTGTAATATGAGCTCGGTTCAACATTAACCCATCAACTATCCATTGAATGGATTTCCAATTAAGAAGGCACTAGGGATAACATTTTGAGCAAGAGTCGTGGCCTTGCCCTCACAGACTTTACATTCCAACGCCCCTTTCTTCTGTAACATACATACTTGCTACTTCTCTAAACACTGTCCGGTTTTTGTTTTTTCACAGTGGTAGAGTACATATAACACAAAAGGAGTCATTTCTAACATTTTAAGTTTGGCACTACTTATATCCTCAATGATGTGCAGTCCTCATCACTATTTCTTCCTAAACTTTTCCATCACCCAAGCACTACTTTCATCACCCAAGCGCTGCTTTTGAACAGGTCCCTCACCCCTGAGGAAGACACCCAATGTTTCGTTTTCTCATATACTAAAATTTTCAAAACCTAAACATTAAAGAAAAAAATGACTGATCTGAAATGATATACCAACACATTAAGCACAGCATGTTTATTTGTATCATAATTTCACCATATGCCATGACTTAAATTACTTTTTTGTTTTTCTAGTATCATAACAATTGCCCAGTGAATGTAAACTGAGTAATAGAAAGTCTATAAATTAACGTGTGGCTTCAAAACAGTGTTTACTTGTTTGACTTCAAATATTAATAAGATCTAAAAATATTACAGGAATTAAAATCTAAATGTATCCTCCCTTCTCAGGAAGCAGACAACCTGGCTGATGCAGAGGAGAGATGCGACCAGCTGATCAAAACCAAGATCCAGCTGGAGGCCAAGATCAAAGAGGTGACAGAGAGGGCTGAGGACGAGGAAGAGATCAACGCCGAGCTGACGGCCAAGAAGAGGAAGCTGGAGGATGAATGCTCCGAGCTCAAGAAAGACATAGACGACCTTGAGCTGACACTGGCCAAGGTGGAGAAGGAGAAACATGCCACGGAGAACAAGGTGGGAGCCGCATGCATGTGACGGTGTGTGTGTGTGTGTGTGTGTGTGTGTAACCATGGGGCACCCATGAAATGAAGCCCACCAAAAGACAACGTGGAATGCAAAGTGTTTAACATGCCACGGAGAACAAGGTGGGAGCCATGTGCATGTGACGGTGTGTGTGTGTGTGTGTTAAACCATGGGGCACCCATGAAATGAAGCCCACCAAAAGACAACGTGGAATGCAAAGTGTTTAACATGCCATGGAGAACAAGGTGGGAGCCATGTGCATGTGACAGTGTGTGTGTGTGTGTGTGTGTGTGTGAAACCATGGGGCACCCATGAAATGAAGCCCACCAAAAGACAACGTGGCATGCAAAGCGTTTTCTCGTCCTCAGGTGAAAAACCTCACCGAGGAGATGGCAGGCCTGGACGAGACCATCGCCAAGCTGACCAAGGAGAAGAAGGCCCTCCAGGAGGCCCACCAGCAGACCCTGGATGACCTGCAGGCCGAGGAGGACAAAGTGAACACTCTGACCAAGGCCAAGATCAAGCTGGAGCAGCAAGTGGATGATGTAAGTCTAGTATCATGCAAATGTTCTATTTGGTAACAAAATAAGCATAAATTTTTATAACAAAATGAGTCTGTATCAAGCGCCTTTTATGCTTAAGGAATATAGATGATCCCTGATATGAGAGACCAAGCAAGTCTATTGAGAAATGGACAAGATGAGCAAAAAGAATTAAAGGAAAGAAAGGCTAGGAAAGCTTAAGCGACAAGACGGGTCTTCCATTGAGCTTAGAAGACGAGTACACTATGCAAACCTGTGGAGGAGAGAGGCTATTCTGAGCAGGGAACACAGCAAGAGTAAGAAGGAGTAGTGGTGGTCAATGAATTGTCTGTCCCAAGAGCAAACGGGATTATCCATAAGGAACAGGGAAGATCAATTTGGCTTTAAAGAGCGAGCAGACAGTGATGAGAATGGACTAGATGAGACAAGTCTTCTCATTCTAGTCAACTATTAAGCTAATTTGGTGATTAGAAGATGCCTGACAAAGGAGACGATGCTTGAAATGTCCACTTGGGATGGAAGGTGGTGGCATTCGCAGGAATTGTATTCATGGACGATTCACTTTTAGCTGGAAGGGTCTTTGGAACAAGAGAAGAAAATCCGAATGGATCTAGAGAGGGTCAAGAGGAAACTGGAGGGAGACCTAAAATTGGCCCAAGAATCCACAATGGACGTGGAAAACGACAAACAGCAACTGGATGAGAAACTCAAAAAGTAAGCACGATGGGCCCAACGGGGTTCAGGGGGGACATGGGCTCTTCATATTTCTGTCACTGACATGAAGTGCTTCTCTCACAGGAAAGAGTTTGAAATGAGCCATCTGCAAAGCAAGATTGAAGATGAACAGGCTCTTGGTATGCAGCTGCAGAAGAAGATCAAGGAGTTACAAGTAAGTATAAGAATTCTACTAGTCCGGCCCAAAGAGGCACAGTTATAAAAAAGCTGAGTTTACGCCATTCACCACTCCCAGGCCCGCATGGAAGAGCTGGAGGAGGAAATCGAGGCAGAGCGGGCCTCCAGGGCCAAAGCCGAGAAGCAGCGCTCTGACCTGGCCAGGGAGCTGGAGGAGATCAGCGAGCGGCTGGAAGAAGCCGGAGGGGCAACGTCCGCCCAGATTGAGATGAACAAGAAGCGGGAGGCGGAGTTCCAGAAAATGCGCAGGGACCTGGAAGAGGCCACCCTGCAGCACGAGGCCACCGCGGCCACCCTGAGGAAGAAGCACGCGGACAGCGTGGCCGAGCTCGGGGAGCAGATCGACAACCTGCAGCGGGTCAAGCAGAAGCTGGAGAAGGAGAAGAGCGAGATGAAGATGGAGATCGATGACCTGGCCAGCAACATGGAGACGGTCTCCAAAGCCAAGGTATGGTGTCTTAGGTCAGAAAGGGATTTCTGCAAGATAGCTGTGAATTAAGCTTTCGAAGACTATGAACTGGCAGTAGGAGACTGTAGCAGTGCAGGGCAGAGAGCTGGGGGAGGTGGGGCAACTCGGACACAGCAGAGGCACCGTCTACACTCTGTATTTAATATTAACCAGTTGCTGCTGAGCTGATTCTGCCTTATGGGGACTCTATGGGTGTCAGAACAGAGCTGTGGTCCATACAGCTTTCAATGTCTGCTTCGTCAAAAGTATAACGCCAAAGCTTTCCACCAAATTGCTTCTGGGTGGACTTGAACACCCAACCTTTCTGTTAATCATCAGACGCTTAACTATTCAACCATCCAGGGACTTCCAGGGAACACTTAAGCTCTTCCACATAACGAATGCAACTCAACTATAGATGTTGAGCTGCCTTTTCAGTCTTGTAAAACACCTCACTTGGATTAGACTTTTTTCTCTTAAGTTCACTAAACTAATTTGCTTCTCAAAAAAACCAAAACAAAACGTCTCACGAGTATTATCAGGTATCAGGATGCTCCTACAACAGACAAGGCAATTTAACAAAGGCATGAAATTCCCCCAGCACTCCGGCGACCTTGTGATTAGTGTGTGACTCCCACGTCCTGTGGTCGCTGCTATTTTGTCGGCTACGATAGCTGATTCTCAAAAGAAGTGGGTACTGGAGCTTCCATGAGATGCTCCGATTGTTGACACATCCTACGCCCCCAATACCTGCTTCAAGGGCTTTCTACCACTTTCTGCATGTAGGGCAACCTGGAAAAGATGTGTCGCACCCTGGAAGATCAAGTGAGCGAACTGAAGACGAAGGAGGAAGAGCAGCAGCGGCTGATCAACGACCTGACGGCTCAGAGGGGGCGCCTGCAGACTGAGTCAGGTAAGCCGTTTGCTGGCATTGACCTTGAAGGGGAAATGTACTTGACAAAATGCACTGAAATATTGTGTTGGTTTGATCTGCCGACTCAAAATCTCATGGCTATCAAGGCCATTCTGACTCACGGCAACCCTGCAGGACACATGAGAACTGTCCTTCAGAGTTTTGGAGTCTGTACCTCTTCAGGGGAGTTGAAAGCCTCGTCTTCCTCTTGTGCACTGGTTGGTGGTTTGAAACTGCCGACCCTGCAGTTAGCAGCCCAACGTGTAACCCGCAGGAGTAACAGCAGAGACTCTCTGCTTCGGGTAATCCAAACTCCACACACCTCCCTTGATTTCCTGGGTTGCACCTGGCCATGGCATAGACTTGCTTCTCTGAGTTGAAGTGAGTGTTGGTGGTTTACTGGAAATCCACAGTCTTCATGATATTTCGGATCCTCTCCCTTTTTCTGCTCCAGTTTTCCATGTACAGCTTCAATTTCCCGAGTGAGATTGTTTGCTGGATCTTGTTCTTTACAGGTGAATATTCACGCCAGTTAGATGAAAAAGATTCACTAGTTTCTCAGCTCTCCAGAGGCAAGCAGGCTTTCACACAACAGATTGAGGAGTTAAAACGGCAGCTTGAAGAGGAGATAAAGGTAAACCCTACTGGGGTGGGGGGCAGGCCCCATTGGTTTATGGTCATCTGTTTCTGCTTGCTTTCACAGATTTCCTTCTAGTAGTTTATAGGGAGTTTGGAACGATACACCACGTTAACAGTTCAAAAGTCAATCATCAATCTCTATGTTTCCAGGCCAAGAGTGCTCTGGCCCACGCCCTGCAGTCCTCGCGCCATGACTGTGACTTGCTGCGGGAACAGTATGAGGAGGAGCAGGAAGCCAAGGCCGAGCTGCAGAGGGCCATGTCCAAAGCCAACAGTGAGGTGGCCCAGTGGAGGACCAAATACGAGACGGACGCCATCCAGCGCACAGAGGAGCTGGAGGAGGCCAAGTATGCCCTCCCTCACAAACTCCCTGCCACCGAGTCCATTCTGACTCGTAGCGACCCCTATAGGACAGAGCAGAACTCCCCGAGGCTGTAAATCTTGATTACACTAATCTCTCTGTCAACAGCCACAGTATATCTGCTGTAAGTACTATGGTTAAATAGGACCATTGTTACAAAAGCATATATTAAAAACTGGGAAAAACACACATGAACATAAAGGTAAACAAGAAAAATAAATTGAGTTGTCTGGAAGCTAGGAAGAGAAAGGACGTAAAGACGGAGGTAGCTGATGGATGGTGAAAAGACAGCTGTTGACCTCCTTCCATTACTATACAAGTGCAGATGCAATAAGAGTTGCTGGCACGCTCCTGGGCCTCTCATTCCTCTTAGCCTCTAATAGAAGAAATGGTCCCAGTTGGTAGGTTTACACCAAGAACCAAGGCTGCTGCCCTTTAGTAGACTCCAGTGTCACCGTAATCCTACAGAACAAAGTAGAGCTTCTCTGTAGTATTTCCAGGGCTGGAATACTCAAAGAAGCAGACTGACACTTCTCTCTCCCTCAGAGCAACTTGTGGGCTCAAACTGTCAGCCTTTTAATTAACAGCCAAATGCTCAATCACTGCCACCCTAGAGCCCCTGAGACTGGCACGTGGGAGAGAAATAATTAGACTTTAAAGCCCATCTCTACCTGTGAGGCGTCAAAACATGACTATTTGAAGGGAGGAAAAAGGACTAGACTACTAAAGACCACAAAGTAGGTAGGAAGTTCTATAATGAGAAAGAAAAAACTCAAGTTCAATAGAGGATTAAATAATTGATGCGGTTCATAAGTTCAAGACTGAACGCAGTAAGAAAGAGAATCTGGGCAGGAAGCGATCCACGTATTTAAGAGAATACTGGAGGCGGGGCCTGTCATTCATTCTGTGTGTGATGTGCACAGTAGACAGTTGGGGCCTGTCATTCATTCTGTGTGTGATGTGCACAGTGGACAGTCGGGGCCTGTCATTCATTCTGTGTGTGATGTGCACAGTGGACAGTTGGGGATGTAAGGTTTGGGAGCACACCTTGGAAGAGATTCTGAAAAGAGCTCTTAAAGCAAAATGTACATGGATTTGGCAAGGCGTAATTTTATTAATGTATTACTGAAAAGCTGGGGGGAAATAGCGGTAACCATTGTTGTTTAGGTGCCATCCAATTGGTGCCAACTCACAGCGACCCCAAGTACAACGAGGAAACACTGGCTGGTCCTTGCTATGGCAGAGAGGCCCTTGTTGCAGCCACTGTTTCCATCCCATTTCATTGGGGGTCTTCCTCTTCTTTGTTGACCCTCTATTCCACTAAACGTGCTTCCTATTCCAGGGATACAAGGAAAGCATATACAGCCATTTCTGTTTCATCGGCATCTAATTGGTCACACACTTGAGTTCTTCCCGTATATGACAGCATAAAGAATACAAAGATCAGTAAGAGATAGACTACCCTCTGGTATGAAAATTTCATGGAAATGCAACATAAATAAGAGTGAATTGGGGTAAATGTTTCTGTTCTGTAACATTCGCTCACTTCTTGCCATTGAGTCAATTCCCACTCAGAGTGACTCGATAGACAGGGTGGAATGGTCCCTTGTAGGTTTCTGAGACTGCAACTCTTTAGGGGAATAAAAAGTCTCATCTTTCTCCCTCGGAGTGGATTCAAACTGCTGACCTTCTGGTTAGCAGCCCAATGCATACAAAATGTTGACTTTGTATGGTCATACGTGTCCTGAAAGTCAGATTATGAAGAATGGTAATGATAAAATGCAGGTTGTTCTCAGTGTTCTTCAAGTAGAGAAATGCACTAATATAGAACCAGACTTTCAGTAAAAGTCAAGCTTGAAGGCAAAGTCTTAATCTCTTGTCCCCATTTTGATACACCCAATCCCGCTGATGGCCTCCCACCATCTACACTCCACACTTCACTCTTCAGGAAGAAGCTGGCCCAGCGTCTCCAGGATGCTGAGGAGCACGTGGAGGCGGTGAACGCCAAATGCGCTTCCCTCGAGAAGACGAAGCAGCGGCTCCAGAACGAGGTGGAGGACCTCATGATTGATGTGGAGAGAACCAACGCGGCCTGCGCGGCGCTGGACAAGAAGCAACGGAACTTTGACAAGGTATTTGGCACCAGTTTCTGACTCAGCACTCAACAAGGGATGGACTGTATGTAGCATGATGTCTTCAGTGGGCTGTATTCAATTCACCTGAGAGATGTTCTGAGAGCCTCCGGCTCCATGGGAAGGTAGGGGGTGGCTGTGGTTTCCTATTTTCCTCATTAAAAATTATTCTGCAGTCATCGGTCACCTCAACTCGGCTTGAGTGCTGTCTACTTAGGTGGCTTCTTGGCCACCAAATTGGCTCCAGTGCATTTCTTGACAATCCCTTGTCCTTCAGGTCCTTGCCGAATGGAAACAGAAGTACGAAGAAACTCATGCTGAACTTGAAGCTTCCCAAAAGGAATCCCGCTCACTCAGCACGGAGCTATTCAAAATCAAGAATGCTTATGAGGAATCTTTAGACCACCTTGAAACCTTGAAGCGCGAAAACAAGAATCTGCAACGTGAGTTGACCTCAGCTGTTCCATAGCCAAGGACTTCTGAGCATGGTCCCCTTCCCTAAATACATCGGTCTGTTTTTGCTCACCAACAGAAGAGATTTCTGACCTCACGGAACAGATCGCGGAGGGAGGAAAGCGGATCCATGAATTGGAGAAAATCAAGAAGCAAATCGAGCAAGAAAAGTCGGAACTCCAGGCTGCTTTAGAGGAGGCAGAGGTAGGCCTTTTACAATGTGTTCAAAACTGAGCCCAAGAGGAAGTCGGTTTGACTGCATGAAAGGATTAGTGAATCAAAAGAAAAATATTTTCAACCCTGCGTACTGCGCATGGAGAATTAACCATGAAGACAACCCATATGGCCATGTGTCAGAAACGAGGTCACACTGAAGTATGAGTAAGTTAAAGACTTTCCTTCAAGGGAACAAACTATTTAAGGAGGCAGAAGTAAAATTAACCACAGGTCAATGCAAATGTTTTTTTATAACAATAGAATAAATGTGTATGGCAGCAATAAGCTAGGAAGGAATGTTTGTTTCTAAGATACCACCGTTTTCATCCCCCTGCTAATATCACGTCTTCCTCTCACGAAGGCATCTCTTGAACACGAAGAAGGCAAGATCCTGCGCATCCAGCTGGAGCTGAACCAAGTCAAGTCGGAGATCGATAGGAAAATTGCGGAAAAGGATGAGGAAATCGACCAGCTGAAGAGGAACCACATCCGAGTGGTGGAGTCCATGCAGAGCACGCTGGACGCTGAGATCAGGAGCAGGAACGACGCCATCAGGGTCAAGAAGAAGATGGAGGGAGACCTCAACGAGATGGAGATCCAGCTGAACCACGCCAACCGCATGGCTGCCGAGGCCCTGAGGAACTACCGGAACACGCAGGGCATCCTCAAGGTAAAGGGGTCCAGGCACGTCCCCGGGAAATTGAGGTGAGTGGAACTCTGCGGACATGGTGTCTCAATGACGGTGTTCATGGCGCAGGATACCCAGATCCACCTGGACGATGCTCTGCGGGGCCAGGAGGACCTGAGGGAGCAGTTGGCCATGGTGGAGCGTCGATCCAACCTGCTTCAGGCCGAGATCGAGGAGCTGCGGGCCACTCTGGAGCAAACGGAGCGGAGCAGGAAGATCGCCGAGCAGGAGCTGCTGGATGCCAGTGAGCGCGTCCAGCTCCTGCACACCCAGGTGGGTATAATAATAAAAATACAGTGGAATGAACATGAAGTATTTGCTGGACTCTTAAACACAATGACAAACAGCAACACACACAAAAGTGATAGCTGTCATCCAGTTGCATGTGATCCCCACCCCCAGGTGTGCAGAGTGAAATTGCACTCCATGAGATTCTTGATCCATTTTCTGAGGTGCTTCTGAGTGGATGGAGACCATCCACCTTTTGGTTTATGGTTAAGCACTTAGCCCATTGCACAGCCTAGGGATTCCTTCTCTAATCTTAGGGCTCTTATCATGGTTCATGTAGGGAAACCTTTAAACTGTTTAAATTTTAGATTTACATTTTTATTTATCTGAATGGTGACACCAGAGCTGATGTTTTTTTTAATACATATATTATATATTTAGTGTGTGTGTATATATATATACTGTCTACTCAGACCATTTATAGCACAAGGAGGTATTCTAATTAGTTAATATAATTTGTTTCTGAGTTCCCACGAACATTGAGCACTCTAATTTTGCTTTGTGTACTTCATACATAAAAACGATGTATTTACCAGAACACCAGCCTGATCAACACCAAGAAGAAGCTCGAGACGGACATCTCCCAGCTGCAAGGAGAGATGGAGGACATTGTCCAGGAAGCCCGCAACGCAGAAGAGAAGGCCAAGAAGGCCATCACCGATGTGAGTGGACGGCAACGCAGCGCTGGTCATGCTGGAATGTCTCTGCGGCATCTCAGCTCTCTGAACTGGCCCTTTGTGTTCTGGTCAGGCGGCCATGATGGCCGAGGAGCTGAAGAAGGAGCAGGACACGAGTGCCCACCTGGAGCGGATGAAGAAGAACCTGGAGCAGACGGTGAAGGACCTGCAGCACCGGCTGGATGAGGCAGAGCAGCTGGCCCTCAAGGGAGGCAAGAAGCAGATCCAGAAGCTGGAGGCCAGGGTGGGTCTCCCAATCTGGATATATTTCCAATACAACCAATGATTTTGAATACTTAATGCTGGTAGATGACGTAGGACACACAGCGATGAACAAGAACTAATCCTTCTTCCTCAAGAGGTTGTAATGAGGGCGATTAGTTGGAAGTGCCTAACACTACATGTAGACCAGAGTAAATGAAGCACTGCGTCATTTGAAGAAGTGTCGATCTAGTGGAATGAATGAATCGTACTCAATGTTTGCAAAATGCCTATCTTCTTCCAGGTACGAGAGCTTGAAGGAGAAGTTGAGAATGAACAGAAGCGCAATGTTGAGACTGTGAAGGGTCTTCGTAAACACGAGAGAAGAGTGAAGGAGCTCACCTACCAGGTATGGAAAATGGCCTTTCGGAACTTTGATCCCAGGCTGCGAGGGACAAGGAGCCAGGGTGGTGCTATAGTTAATTCACTCAGCCACTGATGGAAAACTTGGCAGCTCAAATTCCCCAGCCACTTTGTTGGAGATCGATACGGCCATCCGCTCCCAGAAAGACCCACAGCTTGGTACGCCCTTCCTCTTTGGCTTGGAGTCAAAATTGACTCCAGAGCACCGGGTATGGCTTTCCTTGGCGAGAAGTTTACAAATCAATGGACAGCTAAGTGGAATGGCATTTGTGGTTTCAAGGAGCTCACTCTTTCTAACGTTGTTTCAGACCGAGGAAGACCGCAAGAATGTCCTCAGGCTCCAGGACCTGGTGGACAAACTGCAAGCGAAGGTGAAAGCTTACAAGAGACAAGCTGAGGAAGCGGTAAGTTCACAGCTGCTTCAACGTGTTCAGGCCAACTTAGTTGAAAGGGTGATTAAAAAAAGGAAAAAGAAAAGGAAAATGATTGATGGAAGGGCTTAAAGAATGAGAAGACATCAACCACTTGATGAGGTAGGAAAGAGTTTAGGGAGGGGAAAGAGCAAGTGCAATAGGATGATTGAATCGAATGAAAAGAAAGGAGGGCAGGAGGTTTGTATTGTTACGTGCCGTCGTGTCAGATCCGTCTCATGGCATACAACAGAAAGAAACATCTGGTTCTGCACCATCCTCACAACTGTTCTTATGTTCGGGTCAACCGTGACAGCCATTGTGTCAATCCATCTAGTTGAGGGTCTTCCTCTCTCACTACCCCTGTGCTTTACCAAGCACGATGCCCTCCTACAGAGACTGACCTCTCGTGATAACGTGTCCGAAGTACGTGCTCTAAGGAGCAGTCAGGATGTACTTCTTACAATATAGATTTGTTGGTTGGTTTTGGGGTGTTTTTTGGTGGGGAGGGGTTGGCAGTCCGTGGTACTTTCAGTATTCTTTGACACCACCGTAATTCAAATGCATCGATTCTTCTTTTGTGTTCCTTACTCATTGACCAAATTTTTGCAGGCATATGAGGCAATTGAAAATGTATGGCTTGAATCAAGGGTGCCTTAGTCCCCAAAGGATCATCTTTGGTTTTCAATATTTTAAAGAGGTCTTGTATTGGGACAAGGGGAAAAGTGGAATAGATGGAGAGCTACGAAGGACGAAGATTTCAGGGCTTCTAGGAAACGAGAAGGAGTCTGGTTGTTATTGTGAGTGTAACGGGCACTACAAAGCCAGGAGAGAGGTTTAGGTTGAGTCCATTGTGATCTGATTTACATGTGAAAAATAGAATTCTGGCTACTATGTGGAGCAGGGACTGTTAGGAGCACAAGTGGATGCACAGAGATTCATTAGGAAGCTTTCCAAGTAGTTCTGTGGTTTGGGTTGAAACCGTAGGAACAGGTAGCGAGAAGGTAGAGAATATTCTTTGGATGTAGAAACTTGAAGATAGATTAATATGCCACACTTGGGAGATGAAAGAAAGGAGATCAAAGGAAGCCTACTGAGTTTATGGCTTAGGTCCTCAGGGGCATGGTGTACCAGTTACTAAAATATGGAATTAAGAGAAGAACAGGTTTGCCAAGAAAGGAGGAGGCCGGATTCTGTTTTGGGTACAATGAGTTGGAAATACCATTATATACACAAATGAAGGTGTCGAGTAGGTGGTTGAATTTGAGAGACTGTAGCTCAGAAGGTCCAGTGTTTATGGTCAAACCACTAACTTCGTGGCAGTTTGCTTTATTCTCTATCCTGCGGTTCATCCAAAATAATAAACAATATACATTTCCTAAGTGGGAATATGCATAGTTGTAGATCACCAATTGGTGCCTCTGTTCACTTATGGGTTTTCCCTTTTTCCCTGGCTTCTAAAGTCTGAGCTAAGAGAGAGAATGAGGGCAAACGCATACACTTGTGTACACACACACACACACACACACACACACACACCCCTGGACAAGTAATTGAATCTTCTTCTAGGTCCTACTTTCTTATGTAAGAGGGAAATAGGAGGCCTTCTGCAGGCTAGATCATATGTAGATGCTAATCTTTATGCCCATTCTAAATTTGCCCCATTTAAAATTTGTTCTAGTTTTTAATATTCTCTTTCTTTTTGACTGAGGCTTTCCCCTGTTTTGCTTTGTTATTGTAGTTGGGTTTGGGGGTATGTTTTGCTGTATATGAAACTCAGGATAGTTCAATCTACAGAGAAAGTAACTGGAAAGGTGGTTTCTTGGGGGGATTACAGGGGGGGCTTGGCAGTAGAGGGGGACGGAGAATTAATAACAGTGAGTACAAAACAGAGATAGATGCTCTAAATGTGAGTGTGGTAATGATTGCACAACCCTTATTGAGATGGTTGAACTATGGAATTGCATGATATGTGCATTATATGCTAATAAAACCTGTTTTAAAAGGAGAAGCATTTTTAAAAACGTGAGACAGGGACCTAAATAGGACCACCCTTCTCAAGCTCACTATTATAAACTCAAGGCTAGTCAGACACCATTCAGACTATTTTTGGAAACAATAAATGCTTTTAAAAACCTGCATTAAATAGCAATAATTTCTACTCAAAGGGCACTGATTTATATTCAAAACTTTTAGACTTTGGTACAACAGAAATTGTTTACTTGCATTTTTAAAAGGTCTGGCTTGGTTCCTAGTATCTTGGAAAAAGACAAGCTGGAAACTTGGCAGTATTTAATCACCACAGCTCCAATGTCATGCTTTCTTTTCGGAACATCTTGGAGACAAATGTCACCTGTCCCTCCTTGTTAACTCATGTTCAGTGATCATGACAGGAGATCATGTTTTAAAAATATATTCAAGAGCAAGGATCTTAGTTTCTTAAAAGATTTCCGAGAGGGCATCCTTTTGAAGTTACAAAGTACTGAAGGGTTATTGAGCCCAAGGATCTATAAATTCTGAACTTTGCTCCTCATGTCTGCACTTCTGTTCCCAGGAGGAGCAATCCAATGTCAACCTGGCCAAGTTCCGCAAGATCCAGCACGAGCTGGAGGAGGCCGAGGAGCGGGCCGACATTGCCGAGTCCCAGGTCAACAAGCTGCGGGTCAAGAGCCGGGAGGTGCACACCAAGATCATCAGCGAAGAGTGATTGACCCAAATGCCGCCAGGTGGCCAGAGAAATGCGCAGAATGTGAAACTCTTGGTCACTCTGTTTTGTACTTAACGAATTTTTGCAGATAAAAAATTTACCTGCAACGACTGGTCTTTTCTTTCCCTCTTCGTCAACCCCAGAGTTGTCCATGTGTCTTTTATACCCCCAGGAAAGAAAACCAAAACTGTTGGCTTACATGTCATGGAAAAGTGCCTACTTATCAAGATGAGAATGTGCTAGAGAGTGATCGGGCCAATCCAGCAAGCCCTCATGGCCCTGCGGGAAGCAGGTGAAGCCCAAAGGTGTACCTGTCTTAGGCATACAGAGCATAGAGTGTTAAGTATGACATGTTTAACTCACTTGGCAAAGCATCAGATATCGACCAGAACATGCAGTCTCACTAATGAAATGATTGATTTTTCTGCATCACATGACAGAAAATCCTTGAGCCTGACAGTACGTAAAAGTCAATGAAGAACACAAGTTAACTGATAGGAAAGAAAAAGAGAAAGAAGGAATTCACTCTCGTTAATATTTAAAATGGAACTCTTCACTCTGAATACACTAACCTTAGCCTAAACCGGTGGCCAACTGGCCAGTTCTGACTCAGAGAACACCTGTGCTTCATAGAGCCTTTAATGGCCGCTTGGTTAGAAGTAGATTGCCAGGCTTTTCTCCCAAGGTACTTCTGTGGAGAAGTGTCTTCAAGTTTATTCCGATCCATAGCAGCCCTCTGTTCCGCGGAAGAAAACACTGCCATCATGTCGAGCCCATTGTTGCAGCCACTGTGTCCATCCATCTTGTAGAGAGTGTTCCTCTTGTCACTGCCCCTCCACTTTACCAAGCACAATGTCCTTCTCCGGGGACTGGCCTCTTCCAAGAACATGCCCAAGTATGCAAGGCCGCCTCGTCACCCTTGCCTCTAAGGAACACACTGGCTATACTTCCAAAGAAAATGGGCTTGTTCTCTGGCAATTCATGGTAATTTCAATGTTCTTCACCGGGTGCTTCTCAATGGGCTCAATCTTCGAGCTTTCCATTAATTAGGGGACTGTGCTAAGCCTCTGCATCTCACACTGACTCAGACTACAACGATATGCAATGGGGATTAAGTTGCCTTGAGAAAGAATTATGCTCTATACGTTTTCTGTTAAAGTATGGCATGTGTAACTCTTTGCCACCTGCTGCAATTTAATGGTTTGAACAGGGAGCCTCCTCCCTGGTGATCACCTTCGAATAGAAAAGAGGATTAAAAACTGAGCATATTTTGCTATGACCCATACATGCAAATGCTTTTGTATAGTCAAGAAAACACAAGTTAACATAAAAAAAGGGCATCTTTTTAGTATCTGCTCCTCTGATCTCATCGAAAATTTCCGTGTCTGTTACAAGGCTTTCTCCCAGGACTTCTGTTGAGAATACTAAAAACCAAACTAACCGTCACTGGGTCGATGTCAACTCAGAACAACCAGACAGCACAAGGTTTCTAAGACTCTTTACGAGAGTGAAAAAAAAACAAACTCATCTTTTTCCGTTAGAGCAGCTGGTGGTTTTGAACTCCTGACCTTGTAATTAGCAGCCTTATAGAGAATCACTACACAACCAAGATTCCAATCTGCTGGCAATAGAGGATCATTAACATAAGAGCCAATTCCCTACTCTCATGATCACACGTTTGGATTTCTACATTGTGCCTTTCTATAGTGCCATGAAAACTACAGTTACCATTATTATAATTAGTATTACTACCATAGGTGGTATGTACTGAGTTACATAGATAGACCTTCTATTTATCTTTTTTTAATGAAACAGGGAGATAGTGAAGATAGCAAACGTCTTGCCCATTAGAAATATAATCAAGGCCTAGAGAGAACACTGCTATTTGAAAGGAATGATATGACATCACATGTTTAATTTTTGCATAGTACTTTAAATCGTCCAGTCACACACCTGTGGCCCTCAGCTCCTAGGGATGGTTCTCTCTGGGTTGTGATGCACCTTTTCTTATTTTCTTTAGGTCATTGGACACAACTGCTTCATGCAGCATCTTGAGCTGGACGTTGAAACAATTCATAAGGCAGTTTTGAATAATCTTATATTTCCCAATTATCTGCCAATAGGAACAGCCTAATATGCCAAGTCCACATTGACATTTCATTTGACTGCTGACTTAATGAGAAAAAAGAGTCTCGGGGGCAGAAGTAAGCAGAGAGGTAGAGAAGAAAGGTGGGATCTAGTTGTGGTAGCCAATGTGAGATGGGCCTTCATTTAATAGTGAGCCTCCTGGAGAACACAAGCTCTCTCCTTGGGAGCATTTCCCTCACTGTGTGGCTTAAACCAAAATCTATTTAAAGATGCTTTCCATGAAGTTCTTTTAAGAGGTGACCTTTCCATGTATATATGTAAATATATTAATTATAACGAAAGGGATAGAGGCCAATGTACATATATTTATTAGATAAGTATTATATAGCGGATGGACACTGGCCTCCCTTAACACAAGAACACTTTGTTCTGATAACCTGGCACTCTTTGCTACCTTCCCGACGTGATTACGGAAGACAAAAGGGGTGCATAAGCAAATGTGCTATCAAAAGATATAGCATCTGAGGTCTTAAAGGCTTGAAGTCAAACACACAGACATCTAGCAGGGAAGCAAATAAGCCCACATGAAAGAAGCACACCATCCTGTGTGAACATGAGGTGTCAATGGAATCAGGTATCAGCTGTCAAAAGACCCAAAGCAAATAACTATATCAATGCAAAAGAGGGGGGTTGGAGTGGACACCCAAAGCGCATCTTTAGACAACTGGATATCCCCCCACAGAAGTGATATAAGGAAGGGATGATTCAACCAAGGTGTAGTATAGTACCGATGAATCACACATCATTCCTCTAGTTCCTGAATACTTCTTTCCCCGCCCCCCCCACTACCATAACCCAGTTCTAATTTACAAATCTGGCTAGACCAGAGAACACACATTGGTACAGATAAGAGCTCTTGACACATGGAATTCAGGAAAGATAAATCCTTCAAGAACAGTAATGGCAGTATCGATATCATAAGGATGGGGGGATGGTCAGGGAGGGGGAACGGTGAGAAAGGGTAAACCCATCACAAGTTGAATATATAGGACCCCCCAAGGAGGAGGAATAACAGAAATGTGGGTGAAGGGAGAAAATGGACAGTGTAAGATATGAAATACCAATACATGATTGATCAAGGATACAAAAGGGTGGGAGGTTGGGAGGGGGGAGGGAGGGGGGAAAGAGGAGCTTATGTCAAGAACTCAAGTAGAAAAGGTTTTGGAAATGATGATGGCAGCATATGTACAAATATGCTTGATACAATTGATGTATGGAATGATATAAGAGCTGTTAGAGCCCCCAATAAAATGAGGTGGTTTTTTCCCCCAGAAAAGGTGACCTTTCTTCTCTCATTGCATCAAATGTTCCATAGTCCTGAGCTCCCTTGCTTTCAATTTCTACTAATGTATAATTAGTACTCTCTGTCCTCTTATAAAATGATCAGTCCTTCTTTGACTGAAAACCTCACTGCCATAGACTGGATGCTGAATCACAGCAACCTTATAGGACAAGGTAGAACTGCCCCTGTGAACTCTCAAGACTGTAACTGTTTATCAGAGTAGAAAGCCCTGTCCTCCCGAGGAGAGGCTGGTGGTTTTGAACTGCTGACCTTGCAGATCACAGCCCAAGACATAACCACTTTGCCACCTGGGCTCCTTCTTTGAGGTTCATACTATTCAGCAATTCCATATTGCTGTCACTGACATTTCAAGGAGGCAGCGTTGGTTCACTTGTGCAAGCAGTGCAAGAGTCTCAGGTCTGACTCCTGGCAAATCTACCTTGTGCACGAGAACCACCTGTCTGTTAGTGAAGGCTTGTGTGTTGCTATGATGCTAAATAGGTTTCAATAGAGCCTCTAGATCAGGGGTTCTCAACCTGTGGGTCACAACCCCTTTGGGTGTCGGATGATCCTTTCACAGGGGTCACCCAATTCAGAACAGTGGCACAATTATAGTTATGAAGAAACAACAAAAATAAATTTATGGTTGGGGGGTCACCACCACACGAGGAACTATATGTACTCAAGGGTCAGGCATTAGGAAGGTTGAGAACCACTGCATCTAGATTAAGGTGGCCTAGGAAGAAAGGCCAGGTGACCTACTTACGAAGACCAACAACAAAGACCCCACAGGTCACAACTGTCCTAACAGTAACCAATCATGGCAATGGCATAGGACTAGGGGGTACTTTTGTTCTATCCCACATGGGGTCGCTATGAGTTGGAACAATTGAACAAGAGCTA